AGATGGAAGATTCAATTATTGTGAACCAGTAAACCATCACATATGGAAATGCAGTTGACTGGGCTGAAGTGAAATCCACCAAAGAGGCAGTAAATGTGGGTAGTTCTTAAGGCAACATTTCCTTCCTCCCTTAGTTTCAGACGTCTCAAAGTAAAATTGTTTTCTTCGCTATACAGTCCTCCAGTTTGACTAGGAACTTCCCTACGCTGTTCAGGTCAGTGAGTCTACATAAAAATTAATTCATAGCTTAAAACCAACCACACATACCTATATAAAAAACTAGTTTGCGATGGTACAACAATGTTGTCTAAGAATCCCACCATCGTCAATAGGATGGTGTGGGGTGATGTCATGTTCTCCAGGTGTGGAGGTCGTAACATCATCAGGATTTTTTAGGTCTTTGTAGGACACTAAGGAGTGAAGGACGTATAACCATGTGACAGAGTTCTGCATAGAATACCTTATAATGCTGCAGACTTCCACCAGAGTGCCCGAAGAGAACCCACACAAACACACGGAAAACATGCAAACTCCACACAAAGATCTGGGTCCCATGGGGAATCTAACTGGGAACCCTCCTGCTGTGAGGCGACAGTGCTAACCACAACACCACATGCCATCCTTATTTCACCCTTGATGAAATCAGCGGCATCCTATCTGCATACATTATTTCAGGACAATTGAAAGCAATGATACCCTGGCTGCAGTTTTGACTAATCACACATTCTCCCACACTTTTCGTACATCTGGGCGAAGTGATCATTTCTAGAAAAATGTAAATATAGCGTTTGACACCAAACGCTAAATACAACACCTTTGAATACCATGCCATTTTGGTAACTGCACGATTGTCACATATCCATCATATAAACAACTCAGTAACTTTCTAGATGAACTGGATATTTTGCTGTCTCCCATCCATGGAAATGACTATCCCATAATGGTCCTTGGTATAAAATATCCACTTTGACAGACCTAACCCTTCAGATTTTCTGTCATTATTCCACTATTTTTAGCAACAACTGGTCTGCAGTCCGCCAACTAATAAAGCCTTCAAGGTGTTAGATCTAATTCTCACAAGAAAATGTGCCACAGAGGCCCTGTCTGTCAAACTTCTTCGCTCTTCTGACCTTTATTTAATTAAATTCAGAGTCAGTGTCCCAAGAAGACCCTCTGCTTCCATCTCCCTGTTTTCCTTCTGCCTCAACTTTTTACCCACCAAATTATCCTCCTTTCTTGAATCTGCTCTCCCAATCTCCAACACATTTTTCTCCGTTGAAGTAATGAGGCCACAGAGTCCCCTTCACAAAGAGCTCTTATTTGGAAGAGCCTCCAAGCCCATCCCTGTGTAACCAGACACCAATATTTGTCTTGGAAAAATATATGTATGGAAAAAGAGACAGTTTCTATGTTTAAGATCAATCATAATGGAGGGTGACAAATAATTACCCTCTATTTGACTTGCTCTGCCGGGGGCAATTTGTTTTTTTCCATCACCATCTTTTGCATGATCAGGATGGGATGGGAATAAACTGTTGAGGCACTTTTGATTGTCAATGCAGCAAACATTCTATGTTTAAAACACTCATAAACACAAACAAGGAGTCACACAGTGAGAGGAAGTGATTGAATGACAACAGAGATTTGCTTGTCAAATCTTAATTGTTTTGTCTGCCACCAGGGCATGGGAGTATTTGAATGTGGGTGTGGTTTGGGACAGTCAAAACAAGCTCATATGACCACTAAAGAGCAGATTCAAATGCTGTAAATGAAATTTAAAATAGTATGCTTGATTACATAAAGAACACCAATATATGAGAGAAAGAAAATAAATACAAGTAAGATACATCGAGATAAATTATGCTTATAATATTAGCAAAAACAGAAGTAAATTCCAGGACTATGTAACTCTTTCAGTTGATCTAAATAGATTCAGAAATTATGCAAAGCAAAATTCAGATAAGACAGCAAAGGAAACAAACAAAGTGGGAGAGTGATGACTCAGGTGACAGGTTACTCTGCATATTGAACCAAGTTTGATGCAGGTCTGTGATTCATCAGTGGAGACTGGGTGCACTGACACAGAAGCATCGACACCTTAGGCAGATCCTCAAAGCTGTATTCCTGTTGACATAGACTGAGGTGAGTACTGCTGTGTCTGTGTTGTTAAGACTGAAGAGAGTTCAGTGTAAGGAGCTTAATAAAAACAACAAGCTTCACAAAGCCATTTATATGTTGTTAAAAGCATATAGCAAAGAATCAGAAATGCCAGCTTCAATTCAGAAAACAGCTGATGCATTGAGGAATTGTTGATATGTCATGCACAAAGGAGGGCAGACAGACTTTCTCTGTCTGGTGAGTCTGACATCTAAATTGTTTCTGAAGAAGCTGAGCAATGCAGGCTTTTCAGGAGATTTAACACAGGGGTCCTTTCAGTTTTAGGAAAGACACGTCTATTATTTGAAATCCAAATTAGAAATATTCTGGCATATGTTTGGAGATTGACAGTTTCTGAGAACAAATGAGGGTTGGTCTTCATCAGTAGTGGACAGAGTACTCAGTTACAGTACCTAGACTTAGACTTAGACAATTTTACTGTAATTTTGTATGTACAGAGTGTATACAAAACTAAATTTCGTTGCATACAGCTTACGACAAGACCAGAATTAAATAATTTAGTAGTCTGATGGCAACAGGGAAAAAGCTGTTGTATAGCCTGGTGGACCTGCAGCGGAAGAGGTTATTTAGTCAGCATCAACTTCACCCACCGGGGAAGGGAGGGCGTTTTGTAATCAGTGATCGCCCGTGTGCCTTATCACATGCGCCTGGTGTTGCTGGCGTCGTGGAAAAGATCCTGGATTTTCTGACTGTGGGTCCGCTTCGCTAACCTGCTTGCACGGTTCAAGTTATCTCTCGCTGTTCTCAGTGCCTCCTTGTCACCTGACTTGAAGGCTGAGTTCCTTGCTTTGAGCGCTTGGTGAACCTCCTCAGTCGTCCAGGGTTGTTGGTTGGCTCGGGTGAAGATTTTCTTTGTGATGCTGACGTCCTCGATGCATTTGTTGATGTTGGCTGATATTCATGGCATACTCATCAATCTTTATCATGTTGTCATATCTTGCTGCAGCTTTGAATATGCCCCAGTCAGAGCACTCAAAACAGTCCTGGAGTGCCTCCATGGCCCCCTCAGTCCAAACCCTCACCTGCCTCACTGTAGGTTTAGCTCGGATCAACAGGGGCCTGTTGGAGAGCAGGATGGATGGAAGCGGCGTTCTGTAGGGGTTAGCTTTTAGTTTAGTTATTAATCCACCGCGATAGCCGTGCATCTGCTGCCGGTCACACCGCTTGCTCCTCCAAAGCTGCGTGTGCCACTCCACAAGTCGTGGGCCTCTGGGACTAGTGGCCGAAGCAGTCCGAAGCCACGTAAACAATCAAGGATTGCTGTAGTTACGATTCCAAAAACACTACATGACCGTAACTCCAGCAGCTGTTGGTGGTCAAGTACTGATCTACCGGGTCGATGAGTAGTTTGTAGTTTGATTTGAGGCATATTTTTGTTTAAAAAAATAACAACATGATTAAAAAAAATTTAAAAAGTCATAATAAAAATAACATGCAGGTTTTTGGACTGTGGGAGGAAGCCAGAGAACCCAGAGAGAACCCACGTGGACAAAGGGAGAAGATGCAAATTTCACACAGAAATGTCCTGGGTCCCCCGGGACTCAAACCCAGAACCTTCTTGCTGTAAGGCAACGGTGCTAAGCGCCACACCACTTTGTGCGAGTTCAATCACAGACTGAATGTCCTGTGGGCCAAACTCGGGATGAGTGAGGTGAATGAGAAGTGAGCCAGAGACGTGAGATAAATAGAGACTTCACGCACCCCCTTACCTCACTGCTCACTGCTCCTACAGATAAGATTTGACTATTCAACAGACCTTCAGCCAGGTACTCTCTGGGACCCCTGAATAAAGACCCCTGTAAAGAGGCTGAGTGTGATCCCCATTATAGTTGGAAAACTCCCCTTCTTAAATAGGGGGACAATTACCCCAGTTTGCCAATCCAGGAGGACTGCCTCCACCTTTTATGTCATGCTCCAGAGATGTCTCAACCAAGAAAAAGACAGAAAAAGAAAAAGAAAAATGGGAATTTAAAGATCAAAGCATAATTAAGCCAACAAGATCCTGTCGGCTAGGTTATGTCTTGTGTTTATGTTGTCTTGTGACTTCCTTTTTCATTTTTATATTCACCTTTCCTGTTATTTTAGGCCACTTACCCTTCCTCTTGTGTCTGATTGTCTCTTCCACCATTTGAGGTTAACTTTTGTGCTCTCCTCTCATGAGGAAACATATACAAGGCAATTAATGACAAGCCAAAGAAAAATTATGCCACTGACTCGGTTTTTCATTTCAAAATGAGCTTTGCTTCTATAACTTCTCTTTAGACAGCAACTTAAACTTCTTGGGGTTATAAGCTTCAACAGCTTTGGTGATATCATTAACCTGACATCATGTTCTGACACTGTTGTATGTTGATGACAAACAAACAGCAGGGTTTTCTCTTTGCGAAATGACACCTTTTTTCTGATACCTGATGATTTTTTTTCTGGGACCTGAAGACAAGGATTTAACTGTATACCTAATGCAGGATTCTCATTGCTGACAAGGAAGATGGCTTCTGTTTTATTCTATTGCATTTACACCTCAATACAACATTTCATATGTTTGTTTCCTGCCGTCTGTGGTACAGCCTTATATACAGCTTATGTAAACTTTTGTCTTTTGCAAATGATTATATTCACAATTGGAAAAAAAAGCTAAAAATAAATCAATGTAACTTGTTTTGAAAATTCTTAATGGTAGCTTATGCAGCAACTCACTAAATGTAATAAATTACCTTCAGCACACAGGTCAAGTTGTTCATCACATCCTCAGCTGTTTCATATTTCTCTGGAAATTAAGTAAATACTTTAAAAGAAAATTGTATGTGACTACAGGTATACAGAAGGCCCTCAGAAAATATGATGAGGAACATCTGCATCTTTGTATCTCTGCCTCTTGTGCTTCCCCTGGTCGATGGACAGCGTTTTAACCTAACAGTTGTGGACTTTATGCATATAAAAGAAGAGAAAACCTGGGAAGAAGCTCAGGCTTTCTGCAGGGAGAATCACACAGACCTGGTCACTATCAGAAATGAAAAGGAAAATCAAGTCTTTGATGGATTGTGGGGCTGGATCGGATTGTACAGAGATAGTGAGACAAGTCCCTGGAAATGGTCCGGAGGACAAGGAACAGAAAACTACAGCAACTGGGCTGATAATGGTGAGATACTTCAACTGATTTAATGTCAGAAATCACCATATTCTCTGGTGTGACTTTTTATGTTGTTTGAAAATTAATGTGAGTGTTCATATCTTTATACAACTCTTGTTTCTTGCAGAGCCAGATGAAGTTGAGACGGAGCTCTGCGTTCTCATGTTTACACCTGTAAAATGGCATGATTTTTCGTGCCAGGAAACAGAATATTTCATTTGTTATGATGATAAACTGGTTCTGGTGAAGGAGAAAAAGACGTGGGAGGAAGCCTTAGAACACTGCCGGTCTCTGAGTGGGGAACACACAACTTCTGTGCCTGGGGAGCACATCTACGACTTGGCAACCCTGATCACTGCTGATGACCATGACTACGCACGAGAAAGAGCACAACAGGCTAACACGGATGAGGTAGGCACGTTTCTATACTTTGTGAGTGTTTGAGCAGCTTTTCCTCAGCATTTTATGGATCTCTCTACTAAATGTTGGTAGGTGTGGACTGGCCTGCGTTTTCTTGGTGATGAGTGGTTCTGGATGGGTGGAGAACCAGTACTGTACCAAGACATTCCAAACTGCCTGGCTTTTCGCTGTGGTGTCCTCGAGAAAAACAGCAACAACTTCTTTGGGATCAGAGACTGCAGTGAGAGGAAGAACTTCTTCTGTTACAAGAAGCCTAAAAACCTCTGAAAGTCACTGGGCTCATATTTCACTTCCTTCTCCCTGTTCATAACAGCTGGTGTTCAGAAACGCAGATGAAACATCTGCATAGTTTTTCATCTAAAAAGTTTTTAAATGATAATAGATAATGAAAAACTTGCTACTACTTATATAAGCAGAGAAGTGCTAGATCAGTATGTTACTCTTTCCTAACTCAATGACGGTTTAAAAAGATAACTTTAGTTAACCCTTCCCTTTTCAAATAGATATTGATAATTCCTAGTTCTTAATAAACAGTTCTTAATAGATAATGATAAAATAGTAGATCATTTATTAGCTTGAGAATGCAAAAGGTAAAACGGTTTTTAAAATATTAAGAAAAAGAACATACGTTTTTCTTCAACAAATTTTACACTTTTTATTTGGTTACTACTGACAGTAATGGTTTAAATAGGTAAAATAAAACAAGATGTTTAATGACTTAAATCAATATTATATATGCACTTCATGATATGCTATAATCCATAGCATATAATTTAGTGAATCTATAATATGAAAAATAATTTCCGATGACAATATCTCTGAAAAAGACTAAAATGCTGTAGAAACAAAACTAAATTGTTATAATCTAATATAGGAAACTACTTTTATTAGCATTTCGTAGCACATTTTATCGGGCTTCATCATCCTGAGAAATCTTCAACTTACTGTACTTACCTTTAACTTTAATTTTGTTGTCTTACAGCTAGTCTTGCAAGATGTCAGTTATCGAGAACACATTCAGTAGTTTCATGAAATGTTATCTTTATTTGTATGCTTTTGCGTTTTCATTGTTTTCACTTGTTGTTTATAATGTAAGGTGACCTTGAAATTCTATATAGGCGTATATAAATAAAATGATCATCATTACCATCAGTTCATGGCACTATTTAAATACAGCAATTTAAACACTGCAACAGTGCTGGTAATAATGTAGTTCCAAGAATAATAATTTCCCTTTTAGGCAGTTACAGATTATTTATTCTTATCACTATCTTATTGTTAACTTAGTCTCACTTATCACAACATTGAAATTGATTATTAATTGTTCTTACATAGTCAAAGCACTTGACAATACAGTCATACACACATTAACACACCAGTGAATGCACTAGTAAGCAACTTTGGCTTTGACATGTGGCCTGGAGGAAAGTGGATTGAAACTGTAGTAACAGAGTGTACAAGAGTCAATCCATTCAATCCACACGAAGGCAGGGAACTTGAGTTGCCATTCTTTTACTTAAGAAAAATCATCCGGCAAAATACAACAGTCCCAACTGGGACGTCCCACACTGAAACTCGACCTTGGAGGGGCAACTCCCAATTTGACTATAGTTCCGTCCCTAATATTTCCCAATATATAACAAACCACTGCTCCTCCGATCAGTAGGAAACTGTTTATCTCCATCTTAACCACAGCTGACCCATTCTCTGTACATTTTATGTTAAAAATGCAATTTTATTTACATTCATTTCACACTTTAATGAACGTGAATACCTGTGATGGAGTGGCAGCCTGTCCAGGATGGAATTTGCCTCTCGCAGAGTCTGCTTGGATAGGCTCCACTGGAATTTCTATTGCGTTTGTCTTATATTTCACTAAAAAGTTTAATTTATAAGCTCAAAATACAGGCTTTTTAATTAGTTGTTTTTGTGAACGCTTTTTTTTATTGCTGAAGAATGTTGAGTGATATTTTCATCAAGATTTACACAAAGATTCAGACAGTATCTACTTACCGGAAGCCAAAAGCTTAAAATACAAAAACCCTGCATAAGCTGTTTTTACACCCAGTTTAGCACTGTTTGGGTCAATGGGCAGCATTTGCAAACACATCCAGTGACAGAATATCAATTAAGAAAAGATAATCTCCTCTGGCTGCTGTTTTAGAGTCAAATCCACACGGGCACTCATTACACTTGCACTTTTCTCATGAAATGAGCACAACAAACTTGACAATGATTTTTACACTCAGTAGTCGAGGCATTTCATTGAGTCAGATTAGTCTTTATAAGCACAGAAATAATAAAAAAAAGGCATTCTAAATGTGTTAATGAATAAGTCAGGACCAAAGATAAATTATATACAACTTTATGAGTACAATATGCAACATTAAAGAGAAAGAGTGAATGTTGGGCTGAGTATTTGCTATATTAATAAACAAATACAAAAAAGAGTGAAAACTTATAACATTTATTTGGATATCATGAACCTAACTTTTTGAAGTTAGGCATGACCAGTAACATACATTTTATCAACTTTTTTATTTTCTTATTTGAGACATGTTATACACCAGAAAAAAAAAGCAATGAAGAATCGGTAATGTCCACATCACACCCTGTATGGAGGGCCCACAGAGCGACTAGTTCATGAACTTTTTCAATCAGGAGTTGGCACCAGTCCTTGGCCCTCTGATGATGTGAATTCTGGCTTCTTCGTCCAGTTCCTCTACGATTCTTTCCTGTTTGACGGACAAGATGGTGTAGCTAACTGGACAACTAGTTAAAGGAAAATCCAACACAACTAGGGAAAAAAAGTGTAGAAATGTTTCAACTTGTTTAAAGTCTCTGTTATTGTGAATAGCTTGAATAGGATTGAAACTTCAGAACTGCTGCACTCACACCGTTGGTGATGAAAACCTACAATAATTACTACGTAATAATAATTACTAAGTATTTTTCATGGAATGTAAGTTGATCCTGTTAAAAGCACCATTTAAAATCTTAATTCCAATGCAAGAACTGTATTTGCACATTTCTCTTCTGCCTTTGAGAAAATATAATTATTTATACCCCTCTTGTGGTTCTTCTGCTGACCTTGAAATCCTGACCTATAAAGCTCAACAGCTACTGGACGCATGTCCAAACATTTTTTACCTGTTTTTCACGCCATGACTGTGTCATTGTTAGCAATATGAACACTGACTGAAGCAGAATTTTAGATTATATATAGATTTTTAGATCAATCGTCTGATGACAATTAATCCGAAGCTCGGAATGTGATAACTGACTTTGGAAAATTGTGTGATGATAACTATCTGGGCCTAAATGTCTTGTGTGTGTCCTTATGATGGACTGGCGGACTGTTCAGGGTGTACCCTGCCTCTCGCCCATTGACCACTGGGATAAGCTCCAGTTCTCCCCGCGACCCCATTAGGGAATAAGCGGTAACGACAATGGGTGGTTGGATATCATATGTAGCAGAGATCAAGCGTGGAACTTAAAATATTACCAAAGGATACACATGCCTACCACAAACGCTCCGATACAGAGGCCGGTTAGCAGGTTCCGTCTGCGGAGTCGTTCTGCATTTTTCTTAAAGAAGTCAAGCTCCTGCCGGCGGCGAATCAGTTGTTCTTCTGACTGTTTGGCTGCCTCTTTCTCCGCCATTGCTCATATGGGTCAGCAAATTCCAGGTCCTTGTTTTGGTAACAGCTGTTAATCCGGAAGAGGAAACATCTTCATCGTTTAGGAATTTTACCGCATAGGAATTTTGCTGCCATCTACAGGTCCGTCTTTCAATGTAATGTCTCCTCTTCTTCTTTTTTATGGCGGTTGGCAAGCAACTTTTAGCTGTGCATTACCGCTATCTACTGGAATGGAGTGTGGATCGGGATGCTAACTTTAAATACCCCCCTCAAAGCAAAACAAAACAAAAAAAAACAAACAAACAAACAAAAAAAACAAAATAAAAAAAAAACAATAAGAAATTATATCTCTTTTATCAATTTTGTTTTCTTGAGATAATTAATTATATAACTTATATCTTTAGAAGTAGAATTTTTTTCTAAAATAGGCCTATCTTGTAAATTTAACTGTAATTTATTTTCTTGTAACCGACTAACTAATTTCCTTCTCTCAACAGAATATTTTGTACAGAACAACAAAACATGCTTTACCGTCTCTTCTTGACCACAAAAATCACAACTTCCAGTTCGATGTTTTCTTATTTTAAATAAATTACTGTTTAACCTTGTATGTCCAAAACGCAACCTAGATATAACCGTATCCTCTTTTCTATTTCGTCCCGTTCTCCTCATTGCACCAACTTTTCTTTGAATACTGTACAGCCATCTACCAGTTCTATCTTCCCCCCACTGTCTCTGCCATCTTTCCTTAACCTTTTGTTTAATAATAGATTTGATTTCTTCTTTACTAAACGGAACTAATATATCAATAACACTATATTTTTGTAGTGGTATAGAAATATAGGTATTTCTATACAAATGGCTTTCAGGTGTGAGGTTCCGGCTGGGCAAAGTGGGCGTGGTATATAAGAAGCTGCTGCACTCAATCTGATACATGTCTCCCTCAAGCTTGGGCTGTGATTTGCGTCTCAGGGAACAGTCAAAAAGCATAACATCCGGTTCTGATCTTGTGGCGGTAGGTCTCCCCTCTCTTTGCACTATTGCTGCTTGTTCACTGAAGATCTAAATCCAGGTGTGATCATAGGCAAAACGCTACTATGCGGCTCTCCTCCTCTTTCTGCGGCTCTCCTCCTCGTCGCCGGTTTGTGAGTGCGTATGTGTGCGCGCATACATGAGTTTGTCTGGATTGGGAGGTAAAAGATAACGCTCATTGTTCTGTTAGTAGTGACTAATTAACTTATACAGGTCTCCCCATATGACCATTGCTGCTCTGTTGTTATCCCGGATTATGCGCATCAGCAACCGCGGATTGTGGTGGCGGCTACATGCCGTAAAT